AGCCACCTGTATAAGACAATCACCTGTACAAACAGCCACCTGTATAAGACAATCACCTGTACAAACAGCCACCTGTATAAGACAATCACCTGTACGAACAGCAACTTCATATCATCCCTCGGCTTATTTTTTACATCATTATTTCTAATGTACTAAAAGTTGTTCCCGCATCCGATCCGGACATTGGGGATTGCCTTGTTAGTGAGACAACTTCCTGGGCCTTCGGCATATTGTGGTAGGATGGCCAGTTCCTTTCCACGCCGCCTTTACTTCCCCAACTCGAAGTCAGGTACCCATTACTTCTGGGTGGGCAGGAGGGGGCGGAAAAAATCTGTGTCCGAACTGAGGCTAATGTACTACATGAGTGTATTCTATCTCGAAATTTATGATCCGTTAATAAAAAAACAACTCAAAACTACGCCTTGTTGAACTAAAAAAAATTGGAGTTAGGGCTTTTTCGACATCTGCCCCATCAGTGTGAAATTCCCTCCCTCGACATTCAAGAGAGGCGTCGACTTTTACCGCAGTTAAATCTGGTCTCCAAACATTTATTTAAAATCTCAATTTACTTACAATTTTTATTTAAATTGTTCTTCCAACAGCTAGTGTGGTCAGTGGCTACAGTGATTGTCTTGTTGTGTATGTGTTCTTTGGCAGATTACCTGTGTAGATATATATAATATCACGTAGTTGAAAGAATTGTTAACATTGTACGTTGAAGGGGCCAGTATGTATGAAATTTTGATTTTAATCTTATTTTATTGTAAGGCTCCTAGAGCCACCAGGGAGTGGGTGCTAGATGTGATCTTTATTATTATTATTATTATTATCGCGCGTGCATGCATTTATGTGTGTGTATTTGTGTGTGTGTGTGTGTGTGTGTGTGTGTAGCGACATACCAAACCAATGCTCTTTCTTTCCTCATTCTTACTATTTGAATGTTTGTCACTCTCTTGTGATCCGCTATTTCCGGGGTGCCTTGATAGTCAAAGCAGACTTTATGCTGTTGAGGCTAGAGAGGTAAGCAGAGT